ATTTTTTGTTTTTTAGCTTGCTTTGAATAGGAGAACCGTGGAAGCTTAGTGTGCCTTTGTTATATTTGCTTTATTTACAGATAGACAAACAGAACAGAAGTGGAGGCTAACAGGCACTCGTATAAGTCAGAAGATTGTCCGGAGAGCAAAACTGGGCATGCCATCAAAGCAACACATCCTGTTCTAGCTGAAAGCACTCTGTCTTTCTCCTCGCCACTTTCCAAACATTAGCAATGCTATGCTTCTCTCACTTGTTCCTCCACTCATATAACTAACCCCTCGCCTCATTTGAAGGAATGTCATTTGCCAAAAGGTCTTAATGGTGATCTCATTCAAAAACGCAGAGGGAATCCCACTTTCCAGTTTCTTAAACATCAATCCCATTCAAGGAACTTTAATGGTCAACCAAGGCTATTAACAAGCAATCCCTCTAACAAGAAGATGGCCACCTAGCAGTTGTAACACCAAAACCTAGCAAGTCAGCTAGCAAATCTATGACAGGAAAGAAGCTCTGTTCCATTGCATCATTGCCTCTCCTACTGCCTATGCCTCTGCCTCTTCCTTTGCCCCTTTACCTGGGCAGCTCCACCTCCATTAATTCCTTTCCCCTCCCCTGCCTTTGTCACTATCTCTTCACAGTCTCACTTGCCTGGGAACATCTATGGAAAGGACTGTGAGCACACTTCTCTCCATAAAACCAATTGTTTTCTAACTGTTGGGCTGTGTTGACCTCTCAGAACTAGACATGCCTTGTGGCTGTCAGTTTCCTTATGTGGTACAGGAAGTTTACCTGAACAGGCAAAAATTGCCTGGTGCTGAGAAGGTGTAGCAGCTTAAAAATACTGACAGCAGTGACAGCTCCAAAAGTGGCTGAGATTCAGAGAGGGCAGGAAGAGCAGCAAATTTACAATTCTTGCATAAATTGCCATTTGAGGCGGTTGCCTTATTTTGTTTAATGCAAGGACGGTTCTGTCTCAGGTTCATTTACAATAGCAAAGATTTCTGGTTACCATCATTTAACAATACAGTAACAAAAAATCTCCCCACCACCATTCCATTTAGGCTGCTGTAATCAAGAAAGCTTGATAGAAAATAGAAGTGAATTTGTGTGTGCAAGGATTCAGTGTAGGTTCCAGTTATAGGTAGCATATCAAGGTCCTGTTCTGACCATATGCTACCTTGTTCTTCACTGTAATCTCTGTTTCCTTAAACCACTATTTTGCACCAGTGTCTAGCTGGTAGGCCTTTGAGGTTCTAGTGAAAAGGAGATCCCGTAAGCATTACGTTTCTGTCTTACTACTGTAGCTTATGAGTTTTACTGCTGCAGAGACACCACCCTCAAGGAAGGAAAAGGTTGCCAATTTATCATTTGTATCAATTAAATATATTCACCTGTAAATATCTGGTTACCTCTCCATTCTTAGCCTTCAAAAAGAGGCAGGCAACTCCAGAGGTCTGAGGGCCACATGCGCTGAGGCTACACCTGTTCCTGTACTCCTCAATTCCTCCATTTTTTTCTTTTTTTTAAAAAAAGGATTATTTTACCAAAGACGTGTCCATGTGCCCACATTCCTATATGTAAACAATTTTTGAGATTCTAGCGAGTGTCAGGGGTGCTGGGAACTCTCCACAATACTGTATGTCAACTTGCCTCCCACACTCCCTTGAAAGGGACAAGAGGATTCTCTGAGCAAAAGATACTGTGTTGGGTTGATGGGGGCTGCATTTGGACCCCTGAAGGCTTCAGGCAGCTTGCGAGGTGCATACTGCCCACACAAAATGTCTGGATGAATGATGAAGAAAGCCAGTATAGAAGTGGCTAGGGAACAAGTAATATGACCCTTAGCTCTCTGGTTTTATAATTCTGAGGTAAGAGTTAAAACCTGTATTTTCCGGCCCTTCCCCAAATTATGGTTCATATCTGCTTTTAAGATTTTGTATAGTAGATAAGCAATTCATTCTTGCTGGAAGGCCAACAAAGCAGTTGATATGTGAACTCTCCTTTTCAATTTTTTTTAAATCAAGAAGGCTGCCTGAATTAAGATTTGTGTGTGTGTGTTTCTCTGTATGTTCACATGTATAAAAAGGACTGTGGGACAGCAGATGTGGGATCTAACAGCATTAAGGCACTTTGATGCTTTCTTCCCTTCCCAGCTGCCCTGCTCTTTATCAGGCCATCCAACTGCCCTCTGCTGATCTCCTGGGGCATTGGTTAAAGCTTTGGCCTGAGATCATAGGAGAAATGAACACACACACCTCACCCACTGTCCTTCTCTGATCTCAGGAAGTGCTCAGGAGCTTTTGGGGAAACGAGATGGAAATATAAACATGCTGTTAACTCCCAAAGTCATGGAGTTGCTAACGCCTGAAACGTTAGCCTTTTAATTCTCCAGAGACAGAACTGGGAAAGAGAGAGGGAACTCACACATGGCCTAAACCAGCTGGAAAGCTTCCCCAAGGTTCCAAAAACACTTTGAATTAGATCTTAGAGAGGTTAGTGTCAATTGTGTGTGTTCATGTGTTAATTTTCTCCTTCAAGTCATAAGTGATTTTATTTCCTTGCTTTGCTCTTGGTTGCAGTGAGTAGGAGTGGCACAGCGTCAGAGTATATGGTGACTCAATATTTCTTGTGGCAACAGAGACAAGTAAAAAGAAGGAGAAGTCATTGTCTTGAAAGGCAAGGTGTATGATTGACACCATTCGGTTGGTGAAGGATAGGGGCCATTTCCACAATGAAGTATTTTTTCCTAATCCTGCTCTACATACCCTCTGTATACAGAGGGTGTCAGAAATGCAGCTTGAATGAAATATTTAATCCTATTTTCCTACTTATTTGTATCCCACAAACGGTGTAATACAGCCCAAACCTAAACTCAGAAGATCATTGGAATTTACTTCTTGTCTTATATGCTTACCGACACTGTGTAATGGTTGATTCACCAAACAGAAATCCATATTTAGGGTGTCTTGTATTAGCAGGCTGCAAACCTGTCCTATGTGTGAGGTAGTGGCTGCACATACTCTGCTTGCTATGGCGTGGATCCAGCAAGGAGACTGGCCACACACTGAGCACTTTCAAACAGCTGCCTGCTGTATATCCAGTGATTGTGATCAACTGCCAGGGCCTAAGATTGCAAATCATAATGTCCTTGATCTGTAGTGAGTGATTTCATCATTACACACTGGGCATGTGCTCCAGGATGAAGTAATCAGCTCATATTTTATTTTAGGACCCAACAGCATTTAATGTTTAGTTGTGCTTAGTGTTTCCTTGATGTTCTCTTTTCATCACAAAGTGCAGCTTCAGAAGTCCCAATCTGCAGTAGAAAACACACGCAGGGGACTGATTGGTTTTAATCCTTTCCTCTTTGACAGGTTTTTTATTTTTATTTTTATTTTTGCTAAAAATGGGGAAAGGGACTTTTTCTGACTGTAAGAGAAAAGGCTACAGGTTCCCATATTTTTACTTCTTTTTTCCTCTGTTGGGGAGAAAAACACTGGGAGGGACAATTTTAATAGAAAAGAAACCATTAAATGGTAGGATTAAGAGGCTGTTATGCCCACATGAATCTTCTTGTAGTGCAGGAACCACAGTTACTTATATGTACAAAGAAAGAACCAGAGGAAACTGCAGATATCTTCATCCATCCCACCTCTATACTGCCCCATTAGTGTTACCACTCTCTGGTCTTCACAACATACAATAAATCATGGAATAAAAACACAATGTAATAAATACAATAAAAATACAAAAAGTACAAGAAGCCCTGTTACTGCCTATCTTTAAATAGAACTACACAAATTAAATGCATTTTAACATCTCAGGTCATTATTCACTAGTAGAAGGCAGCTTTATATACCGCATTTTTCCATGTATAAGACTATACTTTTGTCTAAAATATTTAGACTAAAATTGAGGGTCGTCTTATACACAGAAGTAAGCTGGGGAGAAAAAACAAGTGGAGGGGAAAGCAGGGATCAAAGTGGTCCTGCAGGGCTTTGATCCCTGCTTTCCCCTCCACTTGCTAAGCTTTAGCAAAAGGAAAGCAGCGATCAAAGTGCTGCAGGATGGCTTTGATCCCTGCTTTCCCCTCTGCTTGCTAAGTCCCATGGGGCTTAGCAAAAGGAGGGGGGAAGGATCAAAGCAATCCCATGGCTGTATAAGGGGGAAAGGGATCAAAATGACTGCGCAGTTGTAGAATTCCTTTGATCCCTTTCCCCCTTCTTTAGCTAAGCCATGTGGGGCTTAGCACAAAGGGAGAAAGCAGGGATTAAAGCCATCCGGCAGCACTTTGATCCTTTTTACCCTACATATGCTAAGCCCCACTCAGATTTCTTAATTTTGGGTTAGAAAAGTGGGGGGGCATCTTATATACAGAAAAATACAGTAATTTTGTCTTAATTGACTTTCTGAAAACTAAGAAGGATGTCACCTGGTGGACCTAGGTAGGTAGGGAAGCTTATTTCAGAGGAAAAGGCACATGACTGAGGAAGCTAGTTCTTAGTGTTGACTTTTTTAGTCTCATTGAGTGTCACATTTCTTAACATTAAGAACTGCAAGGAGCAGATGGGGTGGGGAGCTATTTTGTGGGAGAAACGTTATGCCAAATATTGAAGTCCTAAACCATTAAGGGGTTTATAAATTATTACCAGCACCTTAAATAGAACATGGAAACTAAGAGAAAGCCAATGAAGGCATGTCAAGACTAGGGATATGTGTTCACATATCCTGGTGCCTGTAATCAGTTTCACCACCACATTTTGGGGCTGCTGAAGTTTCCGTACTGACTTCAAGGGCAGCCCTATGTAGAGAGTGTTACAGTATTTATTTCAGGGATCACTAATGCATGAACTACTGTTGTTAGGCATTTCTAGGTAGGGGCACAACTGGGCAGCTAACTGAAATTGATAAAAGGCACTCTTGACCACAGCAGATATTTGCACCTCCATAGAGAGAGCTGGATCCCAGCCCTTCAGGGTCAAGTAGATACCCCTCTAACCTCTGAACAGCAGGATTGCCATCTTAACTGAATTCAGTTGCAGTTTTTGGCTCTCGTCTAGTCCAATATCGACACTAGGCAGTGATCGTACAGCATCACCTGCAGAGGAAGGAAGAGAAAGAGAGACAGAGCTGTGTGTCATCTGCATGTTGACAACAATGAACTCTAAATCTCTGTATGATTTCTCCCAGTAGCTTCATGCTTCTTATATATTCATTTAAAATATTTTTACTCCACCTTTCTCCTTAAAAAGGACCCAAGGCTGCTTACATCGTTAAAAAGGCAATATTTAAAAGCAAAAACAGTCAGTATACAAATAGAAGAATTTAACAGCTGTTACATTAAAATGGTAAATAAAATCAATATTAAAAAGACATATAAAAGCAACAAGGCATAACAATCCATTAAAAAAGAACTCCTCTCAAACAGTCAGTCACTAAGGGAAAGCCTTAATATTTTAACAGTTTAATATAGATATTATATCTATAGATACAGATATTAAAAAGCAATGGGGATACAGCTGATCCCTCCAGGACTTTGCAACAGAGATCCCATGGGACGGATAATGCCTCTCCAAGCTGTACCCTCTGGGGTAGGCCCCCAAGGAAGGACCAATTAAGGATGTAGCTCCCAGGTTCCAAACTCAATAGCCACCACAGAAAGATACCATAATCGATGGTATCAAAGGGTGAAGAAAGATCCAGGAGAACCAGGAGGTTACTCCCTCGTGTCTGCCTCCCTCAGGAGATCATTTTGTAGGGCAACCAATGCTGTTTCAGTTCCATGTTATGACCTGAACTCTGATTGGAATGGATCTAGGCTATCCATTGCCTCCAAGGACATCAACGTGTAGTTTAGTCTGTAAAGATACATTTTCTATGTATTTTCAAGATGTTCTAATGTTTTGGAATAAAGGTAGACTGGTATTCTAAAAAATACCAATCTACAAGAACCAGTGGACTTTGTTTGTCTGCAAGTAAACTCTTGATTGCCATAAGGTCCAGGCAATCGATATTCTTCATAGCACGCTAGGAGCCCAGGCTTCGCAAGGGTCACAAAGACCAAACAATCAGCACTTTGCACAGCCTCCTTCCATTGGAAGTGAGAGAACCAATTGATGCTAAGTTCAGTTCTCTGATGGGCTGACTGCAGAGCCACGGTAGGCTTAGCAATAGAACTCAAGAGCAGGTACATCAATATTTCTTATGTATTGTTCATTCCCACATCATAATGCATTTAATCCTTTGGGATGAAATTCTTTTTTCCCCCCAGACTGTAAGAGTCTTCTTTAAGTGGTCATCAGCCATCCACCTGTCCAATGACATCTTCTAGAGTTCTGGTTAATATTACTGCTGCTACTACTACTAATACTAATACTACTAATGCTACTAATGCTGCTACCACCACCACCACCGTGTTTCTCCAAAAATAAGACAGTGTCTTACATTGATTTTTGCTCTTGAAAACACACTAGGGCTTATTTTCAGGGGATGTTTTATTTTACAGTCATGTCATCTTCTTCTGGTTGCTGCACAATGGTGGAGGGTGGGGTTTCACTTAACTGGGGCTTATTTTTGGAGTAGGGCTTATATCACGAGTATCCTGAAAAATCATACTAGGGCTTATTTTCAGGTTTGGTCTTATTTTGGGGGAATCAGGGCGCTGCTGCTGCTGCTGCTGCTGCTGCTACTACTACTACTACTACTACTGGTGACACTTTTCAGGGTTTTCCAGGTAGAGAACACTCAGAAGCAATTTACCATTCCTGTTTTCTGGGGGCACCGTGGGGCTATGTATCTTGTCCAAGGCCACATAGGCAGGCTGTCCTTGCAAGAGGTACAGTGGGGAACTGAACCTCTGACTCTGCAGCCAGATACCTCAACCACTGAGCTATCCAGATTATTCCAATTTAAATCAATATAGAGGAATTGTATTTTTGTAAACAAGAATTCAAGCTGGCCCCAACTTCTATGCCCTCATAGTCAAGCAATGCCTTGACCAGCATGCCCATTCAGTGCTTCTTCTCTAAGCCAACCCACTTCTTGTTTCCACAGCAGACAAACTTTTAGAAACTTATTAGATGCAGGTGAGCCTTCGTATTGTGCTTCAGAATCCAAATCCATCTGCTTCAATTAAGTTATCCTGTGCATCTTCCTCCATCTACCAGTCAGCCAATCTATTGCAGAATTGTTCCTGACAAATAACTTCCAGTAAGAGAGGTTTTCGGACTTCAGACATGATAGGCCAAGAAAAGTCCTCCATTGACAAAGAGGCAGGGGATGAATGGGAATGTCGGTGGTAACGTTTAGTGGTTATATCCATTTTCAGCTAACAATCTTCCTTACAAAACAAGCACCGCTTCTTCCTTTTTCTCCCTCTTCCTCATGCACAGGGATGGATGAGATTTATATTGTGGGGGTGGCGGCTTTATTTTGGTAGAAAGCAAGTGACTGGGAATTCTCCCAGAGTTTGTATGCCACCATTTGAGGGAGCCAAGCTGCCTTTCCAGAGGAAGTTCAAGAAATGAGTGGTGATATCGGGTGTCACGTAGGCACGTTACGAACAATAGGCCAATGCTGCATTTTCTTCAAGGCACAGGAAGGGAGTGATAAAGTGGAATTTTGTTTTGGGCCTCTGTTTCCTTTCATGAGGTGCCTATTGGGAGGTAGTGAGGGCAAGACAGCAGACCCCCATATGTTCCAAGCAGAGAGGCTCATATATTCAGTGAAACCTGCAAAGCTAAGACGCCCATTCACTAACCCAACACCATCTACTTTTAACAGCTAAATGCTATGTAAACAAATAAACAAATGACTGAAACAAAGATCTTGTTCAAGATGCATACCCTATCCTTCTGTGACACTTCTCTGAAGCTTCTTTTGAGGAACTGTGATGGGTGGGTTTCCTCATATTTAGGATATATTGGGGAAATCATGTAAGGTGTGTTCTTGTTGTGTTTTGCCCCAGGTCAGTTTTGCAGGGAAGGGGCATGAGATTGCGTCCAGGTTTTCAGAATGTTTTATTCATTACTTTAATTTATACACCACCTCATTAATGCCGGAGTAGTATTCTCAGCAGTTTACAAACAGCTAAAACCAGCCCCACAAAACAAAATACTCAATTGCATAAAGCATTTTGATTTACCTGCTCACACCAGTTCAAGACATTTGATATAGAGCAACTCTTGCTGTTTTTCTGCAATTCAGATGGAATTGTTTGCTGATACTTGTAGCACCATTAATTGCAATAGCTATGTGGTTCATTAGATTTGTTCAAACTTAGACGTTTACGGCCACGTGTCACAAAAATGACCCTGAAGTGATGCAAAGTATGGTATTACTATTTCAGATCATTATAACCTCCTAATTAATGTAGAGCAGTGGTTCCCAACCGTGGGTTAACCAGGTAGTCTTGGATTGCAAATCCCAGAAACCTTCACCACCAGCAATGCTGATTGAAGTTTCTGGGACTTAAAATCCAAGAACACCTGGTTGGGCACCACTGATGTAGAGTCTCAGAATTCCTCTGAAAAAGACTTGACTGTTCATATTGTTTATAATACTAATCCAGCAAGTTACCGTAATATCGTGTTTCCCCGAAAATAAGACAGGGTCTTAGATTAATTTTTGCTCCAAAACCACATTAGGGCTTATTTTCAGGGAATGCTTTTTTTCATATACAATCTATGTTTATTCAAATACATTCATGTCATCTTCTTCTGGTTGCTGCACAATAGTGGAAGGCAGGCTTTAACTTAACTAAGGCTTACTTTTGGGGTAGGGCTTCTATTACGAGCATCCTGAAAAATCATACTAGGGTTTATTTTCAGGTTAGGTCTTATTTTCAGGGAAACAGGGCACATAAAGTTAAACCATACATATTCCTGCTAAGAACATACAGTATTCTGAAGCACAAATTAAAGCTCCAGAAATAGGACAAACCACATTGTTGCACTAGGTCACAGTTAAGTCCCCATTGCTTATACAGCTAGATGAAGGACTCTCATACAGTCAAGACAAGTGATTCAGCAGTGTTAGTCGTGTAGTACCGTGTGATGTGACTTAGTGTTTCTCGTTTCAAACTTGAAGCTGTACCCCACTTTGTGTTGTGCAAACAGATTGGCAAAAAGGCCAAGGACGTAGCACATTTAACAAGTGCTGAACAACTCGCCTGTCACTTTACTTCTTTTTATCTTTGCCAGTAATATTTTACTGTATTTACAACTGGGTGTTAGCTGTGCCCTCTTTTGGGGGGAGGATAGTGAACACTCAGTGCCATGTGTGACTGCAGGCTTGAACAGTTGTATGTTCCCCACAGCAAAGGACACTTTGTGCAGGAGAAAACTGCTGCTGTAAAAAGTCTTACTGCCTTGGTCAAAGGACTTGGAAGGCAGTTACTCAAGGGAACCAGCAAATATCTTATGCCAGGTCTGCACATCTCTCTTAATCTTTCTTGCCTCCAATCACTCCTGTTGTGTCACCCCCACCCCTGGACTAAAGGAGGAATGTGTGATGCATGGTGTCAATTCAGAAGTCTCTTTATCTGCTTGGACATTGAATACTTTGGACATGTAGATCCAGTGTTTGCCTTGCAAGGAACTGTTACAAATACTTATTGGCCAAATCAAATTGTGATACAATCTTCTGTGTACGATCCAGTGTTTGCCTTGCAAGGAACTGTTGCAAATATTTATTGGCCAAAATCAAATTGTGATACAATCTTCGATGTATATCTTAATTATCTGATATCTTGTAAAAGTGTTAATCCTGAGGATATGGAGAGAGTTGCTATTTTTTATGCAAAAACACACATAATGCATGGAATAGATTTAGGATTACTTCTGGTTACAAGCATTATCTCTTGAATTAGACCAGCAACTTGGCCAGTGTACAGCAATAATATTACCAAAGGTGTGTTTAAAATACAGCAATCATGTTTGCAGTTCCATAAGCACAAGATTGAGTTGAATGTCACAAACTTTTTCTTTTTTCAAAAGGTTTTGACTTTAGGTTTCGGTTACTGAAACCTTGGCACAGTCATATGCTTTTATTAGCTATTTATATTGTCCAAAATCTGAGTGCATGTGTACCATCTAATTC